TTGGTAGAGGGCTGAAGATCACAGGCATTCAAATAATGGTTTTCATCCTTTTCCTCTCACACACTGTCCCAACATTTTTGGGATCGGGGTTGTATATACAAGTATCAGCCAAGCAAAAGAAAGTCTTTAAAAAGAGAGGATAAGGTGCTTGGTGCATCCACTCTTTGTTTCAGTCAGGACTAAGTATTAGAACAGCATCATCTTCTGCCTGTTGTTCGCCTGCTCTAAAATCTTCTTGGATCCCAAACTAATGATTCTTTCTTTTTCTCTTTTTCTAAGGAACTTTTGCCAAAGGATGTGACACACAGCTGGATAGAAAGAGTGTTCACAAAATGTGGAAATGTGGTTTATGTCAGCATCCCCAGATACAAGTCCTCCGGGGACTCCAAGGGTTTTGCTTTTGTCGAGTTTGAGAAAGAGGAGCAAGCACAGAAAGCTATAGAGGTGAGAACTCAGTGGGAATATTTCCACAGCTATGATGTCGTTGACGTTAACGTGGTGTTTGTTTTTGGCTGGAACAAAAGATCATGGAAGAATTTGATCTTTCAAACAGATGCTGAACAATCCTCCTGAAGATGCTCCCAGGAAACCAGGGATTTTCCCCAAGACGTTGCACAGGAAGCCAATTTCTCTCTCGGCTGACAATCCAGCATCTCGGATAGGTGATTTTATTTGGCGCCGTTGCAATATTGAAGTAAAGGATAGCGCTGCAAAGTGTATTTATCCTGGCTTCTTTACATCCATGTGCTGCAGGTGAAGAAGAAGAGAAGAAGAAGCGAAAGAAGAAGAAAAGGAAAGAAGGTGCCACGGCACAGGCGCCTGCAGAGGAAGTCAAAGAGCAGGCGATGGAAGCGGAGGCGGCTGAGCAAAAGAAAGATTTTGACCCGGAGGCCACCGGCGCTCACAAGACACCGAGCAAACTGTCAGAGAAGAAAAGACGGCGGTCACATACGGCGGAGGGATCGGAGAGCGACGTACCATCGAAGATAAGAAAAACCAGCGAATGTGAAGGTGGGGAGAGGGAGAAAGACGGAGCACAGAGTAGTAAGTCGTCTCTAAGCCACCAGTGTAAAAAAAAAGAAAACTACAAAAAGATATAAATGGGACAGCTGTTTGTCATTTTACCTCCTCATTGTTCCTCATTTTTAAGGTCAAACTTAAGTGTTTTTACACCCAAACCACAAAGTCGGTTGTTGTGTTAATGCTGTTCTTCCCCTCATAGAGTCGCCCACTCACAGGGACGCACAGCAGGCTGTTGAGAAGGGCAAAGAAAACAGAGATGACTCAACAGTTAAAGCAAAAAGGAAGAGAAAAAAGAAGCACAAAGAGAAACTGAAAATTGGGGAAGAAGTGATCCCACTCCGGGTGCTTTCAAAGTACGAACCTGCATCCCTTGTTCTAACGAGTTAATACAATTGTAAAAGGTTTTATAACTAGCAAACTGAACCCACTCTGTCGGCCGTGTTTATTCCTTCTTTTTCCACATCAAGGAAAGACTGGCTTGGATTAAAGCAGGAGTACCTGACCTTGCAGAAAAGCAGTATGTCAGCCCTGAAGAAGTGCATGAATAAAATAAATGACAAGGAGCACAAGATGATGGAGACAGATGGTGACCTTCGGGATGCAAAGGGTGAGTTCTCTTCCAAACCTCACTCACAGGCCTCTAACTTTAAAAATGTTTCCCCCATCCTCCTTTATAATTCCCACATATCTATTTTTCTGTATCCACAGGTAAGTTGAGAAAGCACCACAATAATAATGAGAATCCCATAAAATTTCCAATGTTGCGTGTCTCATTAAACTTGGCATTAGCTGGGGTGGCATTTGCAGTAAGTGGGCAAGTGCTGAAGTTTCCATGTGTTGAAAACAGAAGTGTATGATAAAACAGGAAACAACGATGCTGAACGGACAAAGATTTTGTCCTGGATTTTTGGGAAAGTGTTTTCAAATAATTTAAAGAAAATTTTCACACGACATTCCTCAACATCGCACCAGAAATCACACAGCATTACTCTGACAAGGACAGATTGCACTGTTCAGCTGCTCATTAACACAATTATCCAATCAGCCAATCACATGGCAGTAACTCAGTGCATGCATTCATGCAAACATGAGCGTGCTGAAGTTCAAACTGAGCATCACAATAATGAGGAAGAAAGGGGATTTGAGTGAGTTTGAATGTGGCGTGGTTGTTGGTGTCATAGGGCGGGTCTTAGGTTTCAAGAAACGGTTCATCTGCTGGGAGTTTCCCACACAGCTATTTCAAGGGTTTACACAGGATGGTGTAAAGAAAGGAAAAGGAAAGGGGAAAAAAATCCAGTGAACAGCGGGGATACTCAGGAGAGAGAGGCCAGACTTCAAGTTTGCTGGAAGTAGGGACGTTCCTGGCGACTAATTTCTTAGTCGACTAAACGAGGAAAAAACAAATGAGACTAACAGTCTAGTTTAAAACAAAGAAACACTCAGATATCAAGTGAAATTTTAGGACCTTCTAATGGATAATAGCAAAAAAGTGTCCAAACAAAGGCATTTGAAGCCTTTAATCACAACAATGAATTCTATTATGGATACTGTGTGTTCTATTCTAACAGGATAATGAAAAAGAAAAAATAATTTTTTAAATGTATGAAAATGTGTTACTTACAAAATATATTCAAGTATTATTAAAATATGCCAAATTAACAGCTGAAAAATAACAAATTGTTCTGCGATTCATAACAATCATTTCAATCAAAGTTCAAATATAAAGCAATAACAAAATGATTTGATGACAACATCTCTATTAAGCAGAGAAGTCCAAACCTCCCTGTGCCCAGCCACCTCCTTCAGCTAATCTGGGGGAACACTGGGACAAGAGATGTAATCTCTGCAGTGTGTTGTGGGCCTCCTCCTGGTAGGACAGGCCCAGAATACCTCACCCAGGAGGCGCCCACCTCAACTGGCTCCTTTGGATGTGGAGGAGTAGTGGTTCACCTCTGAGCATCTCTCAAGCTAATTTCTTTAGCTTGATAATATCATTCTGCATTTTTGCACATTGTTGGGGGCTGCAGCTCCACCTGGTGGCAGATGAGTGCATAACATTTTGGACACAGCTTCCTGGGACTGGACATCAAATAAATGTTAAACATTAGATTAAAAGACTAATCATAATAGAGATTAGTCACACTCACAATCTCTAGTAGGAAGGTGACAGTAACTCATCATAGCTGAGGTGTGCAGAAGAGCACCTCTGAATGCACCACACGTGGAGCCTTTAAGTACATGGACCACAACAGCAGAAGACCACACCTCGTGCCAGTCCTATGTAAGACTTGAGGCTGTTTTGAGGGCAGAATTGGGTCCAAACCAGTACTAGAAACATGTACCTAATATAGTGGCCAGTTTGTGTATATTAACAAGCTGCCAGAATCAGGGTGAAGCTTATTGAAATGTATATCTCATTCATCTTAGAACTATATACATTTACAGCTTTCAGCATGTTGGAATTCAGCACTAAAACCTATGAAATTAAACTGATTTGTGTTTTTGCCTTTTGTCTAGTTGATGAGAATAACAAAAGTGAAAAGGCAGCTAAGCAAGGACCTCAGTTTGTCAGTGGGGTCATCGTGAAGATTACAGACAACAAGCCGCTACCAGGGAGGAAAATAATCAAGGTACTCTCATCACCTTTACTGAAGTGGACCAAATGTGGTCGGACACGTCTTCATTTCTTTCTTTATTCTTTTGTAGCTTTGCACGATTCAGAGTTCAAAGTAATCCTTCTTTGTTTTAACAAATGGTGTGGTGCAGCCCCACAGTTCAGTTGTGTATCCACATTACACAATGATTCCCGTAACCCCGCTAAAGAATGACACTGTGTGTGTAGGACGCGCTCTGTAAAATTTCTCCAGTGGCCTATGTTGACATCTTGGAAGGAGACGCTGAGGGACACATCCGCTTTCACAGCCCAGAGGAAGCGAGAGCAGTCAGCGACGTCAGAGCAGAGCTGCAGAAAGAGCATAGCTGGAAGCTGGAGATCCTCACAGGTGTGAATTTTATTTCCTTAATTTCTCTGAAACCTTTTTTAGAAATTGTGTTTTGTATGGATTTCATAACTGATGATGGAGAAAATGCTCTGTCGGGCCATCAGGCTGTGTTTTTTAACCAAAGATTTGATAAAACTGTGAAAGGCGTCCTTTAATGAATTTCACTCTGTTTCTTTCTTTATTTTTAAAGGTGACCATGAACAAAGGTACTGGCAGAAGATCCTCGTGGACCGCCAGGTCAAACTGAATCGTCCAAGGGAAAAGAAGCGGGGTACAGAAAAGGTGAGCTCTACCTTACAATGTGAAATACCCAAATCTGCATACATGTTGCAGTGTGCATCAGTGCATCTGTGATTATTTATTACATTATGTGTATAAACAACTTTAAACACGCACACAAAGCTGACTTTCTTTGTCAGTGTTACAGCTAAATGCTGCACCTTCATGTGTTATACTCACAGGACAAAAGAAAAAGTCACTAATACCTGGAGTAATTTTATCACGTTAGCGCACCCATTCATACATACGCCTCCCTGTTGTCTGTCTGCTATCTCATCTCATTTTTAATTTCCTGTCACATTTTCAGCTCATATCCAAAGCCGAAAAGATCATCATCGCCCGCGCCAAGGAGGCTAATAAGCACATCCACTTCGATGACGACTGACAGCTACTGAAATTAGTTTTTAACAGCCGAGCGAGGCTCTACTCTGTAAACTTAACATGATGTCATTTAAAGAGGACCGCTGATGTTGGTGTGTACCTGGAAGAAAGTGAACAGACCCTCATAAAGAAGATTAAAGGAATAGCCTTTAGCTTTGATGTTGTTTGTTTTAGTTTAGTTTTTTTCTGGCACTGGAGCAGGTAAGGTCATGTGGAATACAGACATTTTGGCACCATACTTTTAATCGATGGACTTTAAAAAGAGAAAAAGATTCTGTATAGATGTAAATATAACTGAGTTGGAAGTTCTCTCAGTTAATACCTTGTGTTATTTTTTAATAAAATGTCATTTCATGATTACATTTACATGATTTGTGGTGTATTCACAATATAGTTTTGGAAAGTGCTCCTGAGGTTTTATGAAACACATGGAGGTCATTTCAGCAGATTGGATTACTTCTTACTGGAACAGTGACTGATTTTAAAAAAGTGTAAACACCTTTTATTATCTGGAGGAAGTCCACATCTGTCTGTCTAAACCTGTTTCCCATAAAGTGCCTCTCACTTTCAAGATTACATAAGAGTGAAATTGAGACGCTTACAAGTATAAAAATAGCTGATGTTACACAATCTCCCCATTCATGGCTTTTTTTTTCTTTCCTTTTTTTTTATTGCTGTAGAAGTAGAAACTACCTGAGGTAATAATGTGGCGAGACCACACCTTATCAGCCACCTTAGTTTTTGTCAGAAACCATGCAGCTGATTATTTGGTTGCTATGGTCTATACAGCTGTCGCCATCAGGCGAAGTCCCTCCTCGGCCCAAATTTCTGTACCAGTACATCTTGGATTCTCCGTTCTCTGTGGAGCATTCGAAGCTAGAAAGCACTTCAGTGTCTGCAGGACTCTGTGGTCTCTGTGTGGCACCTCTGGAGGAATTACAGGCTGAGGCCTTGTGTATTTTGGGGTGTTGTCTCAAAGTCTTTGGGCTGGCTTTGCTGTCGTCAGGCGATTTAGGTTTGCCCACTGACATGGTGGTTCTCACAGTGGTGAAGCTTTGCGGCGAATGCCAGACTCTGTACTCGTCCGTCACGGTACTAGCTGCATGGCGGTGGACGTCATTTATCTCGAGGGCTGGCAGGTTTTTCACCTGGCATTGAATGCTGTGGTCTCCTGGTGAAGAGAAATCTTTGGTGTGGCCCTGAAACTTGGTTTCAAGGGAACTGTTGAACCTCTCAAAACAACCACTGCCTTTGTCAGGGTCTTGGTGTGTAGACCAAGCCTTCTTTGGCTTGAAGGGCAGTCTCGGCTCCAGCGGGAGTTCCTTGCTGCTTTGGTTAGAGTGCTTCAGCTTGACTGGTCTGGGGTTTGTTGGGTGGCGGATGTAATCCGATTTATAGCTGGTGGTGTTTGCAATGCGTTCTGGTTCCTTCGCCAGTGCGAGCATGTTGCCTAATCCATGCTTGACTGTCAAACTGCCTTTCATGATGATTGGCTGGCGCCTGCTGCCCTCCCAATGTTTAAAATCATCTGAGGGGAAAAAACAAAGCGGATTTAACTCAGGATGCAAATTTTGCCATATTCCTTGATATCTCACAGTAATATTCTTGAAGTTGCTTACTTTGATAGACGCTCGTGTAGTCAGTCCTGGATGGTGTCTGGTTTGCAGGACTGAGTGGGCCTTTGCATCGTCTGTAGTCTGGCTCTGGTGGCTGTGGTGGCTGTGGGACCTTTGGTGGCTTTTTTATCCATTTTTGCTGAATGTAAAATGATCTGAAACACACGACATACGATGAGCAGACCAACACATTTTTACGTCATGAATGATAGAAAACGAGAAAGATGCCACACCAACAACTCGTTTCCCTATTAATCAGCTGATTTCAGAGCAAAGATTACACAGTAGTCTTTATGTTCTTTTGTGCACTGAAATGTTGTCATGGCCAGTTCAGTCTTATTTAGCTGAGAAACCATCCATCAGTTGCTGTATGCACGTGGGCAGAGCGCCAGCCAGGTTTATCCCACTGTCCAAAATTGAAATATCTCTTTCCTCAGCTAACTAAAATCTAATGACATTATAAAGGGAAAAGAAAATACCTCAAAGAGGTAATCTCATGACTTGTCCCCTTCAGCGGATGGTAAGGGATCTTCTTTGTTGCGGTTGTCACGATTGCTACATAACAGGCGGGAGGAAGGAACCTCTCCTGGTACTCTGTGGTCATGGAGGTCTTTGTTTGGGGTTTCAGAGAGTGCTTCCTGGAAAGTTTATGGAGTGCATCATCACTTTAAAGGGGATCTATTTTTGCCTTCCATGCATTAGTTTCAAACAATGGTAACACACATGACAAAATAATCCTTGTGAGGCATCAGTTTAGGATGCTTGCTGCTCTAAACGCCCACTTTCATGCCCTTTTTTCGTTATTCTTGGCTCTGTAGTGTCAGTGACAAAAATAATCCTAATATAGCCATCACAGGCACATAACTCGGGCTGTGAGCACAGCACCTCCACCCACCTGCTGTTTAGACCTTCTGGTTACGGAGGCTGCCAATCAGAAAATGGCTTAAAGGGAGGGCTGCAAAATGTTTTTGTTTTTTTCACAGCCTGCATCAAGTAGAGGTGGGTAGATCAATCTTAATATCGATAGTATTGATACCAGTGCTGATATTGGTATTGGATCAATACTAATGTGACACATCAATACTTTCATCAATCAATCACATTCATCAATCAATCACTTTTTTAAAATATCGGTAATGGTATAGGTAATACTGGCCCTGTATGTATTTTTGTAGTGAATTGATACAAAAATCTGCGGTATGGCACAGCAATGATATCAAGGTTCAGATAATTAAAGATTTGTATTTAAATGTAGTTTAACTCAACTTTAATTTCAAAAAAGCAAAATAACGGGCTTTTTTTTTTTTTTTTTTAGGATCTCGGCGCTGGAGTTAGCACCGCCAGTCCAAATCTCTCATAGCATTTTTAACTGAAAAGAGTGTATCCTATAGCATAAAGTCTGCTCACACCTCTTTTGGTGACACACAACTAACTACAAATGCTTCGTGTCCGTGTATCTGCATGCCAGCAAATTCCATTAAAATTCAGTGAAATTTGAAAAAACACACGCAGAAACAAGCTAGCTCTTTCCCTCCGCTTTCGCATAAAACTACCGAGTTTCCAACGAAAGAAAATCTCTCTCTCTCTCACACTCTCACACACACACACCACACACACACACACACACCTACACACACACACACACAGCTGGGCTCACTTTGTCTGTGCAGCTGGCTGCTTGTTGGTCTGCTCTCTGGCAGTTTTCAGGTGCATTTCTGCACCCTGGCTGGTTCTCGGCATCCCGCAGCTCCGACTTGTGGCAGTCCCGCTCTGTGGTCGCTGCAGGCCTAAAACATATAAATAATTGACGGCGTGAACATGGGACGTGTGCTGAACGAGAGTGGCTCGCGGCTAAAAATAAACATCGGTGGATTAGAGTGTGATGCGGGCCGGTTGTCATGGCGAGGACGCAGGCTGTGAAGATGCGCGCGTGCAGTGAGACTCGAAACCTTTGCTCGAAGCGCTGTGTGCATGTCACCCGTGGATTTCTTTTTGCAACGTGACGCGGACTCCCATCTGTCACTTTTTAACTGCTTTGAGGGCATTTCTTTCTCCCCACTCCCTCCCACACCCCTGCCCTAAAAAGCATAAAAGCATGTACACGTGCACCAACAACTACATATAAGTTGGAGCGGTCTAAAACAAACCGTGACCTCCCCATGTGACCTATCCACAGAATGTGTGGTCCTGAGCACACATCTAAAAATTAGGTCTTGAATTCGTCAGATCTGGTGTAATGCTATGATCCCTCACTAGATGGCGCCCACACATTAAAAAAAGACCCATGACTCACAATTTACTTCACTTGTAGTCTTTCTTGACACCAAGAATCAAATAAATTAGTTCATCCGTAATAAAAAACTTTCTAAATGGTAAATGGATTAGTGCTTATATGACACCTTTTCTACTCTTTTACTCAGAGCGCTTTCTAGAACATGACTCATTCACCCAGATTCATTCATTCTTTTTCTAGTGCTTTCTATCTAACATTCAGACACTAGTGGATGCATCTGAGAGCAACCCAGGGTTCAATATCTTGCCCAAGGATACTTTGACATACAGACAACAGTAGCCAGAGATCAAAACATCAACCTTACAATTACATAAGTGACCTGCTCTTCTTTCTCCAGAGTCACAGCACCAAGTAAAACTACTTGATTCAGTTTGGTGCTAGATTGGTACATAACTTAAAGGCGTATAAACAAAAAGAATATCTATCTATCCATACATACATACATACATATATATATCCATGAGACCAGCACTATTTTTCCAGTCTTCTGTTGTCCAATTTTGGTGAGCTTGTGCAAATTGTAGCCTCTGTTTCTTCTCCTCAAATATTATGTTTTTGAGTCCCATCTGGCTTGCTGACAGCAGCACCCATCTGCTTCATGTTTTGACACATTGTGCACTCAGAGATGCTCTTCCGCGTACCTTGGTTGTAATGAGTGCTTATTTGAGTTTCTGTTGTCTTCTTGTCAGCTCAAAGCACATTCTGAAACACTCACCACCAACAATGGCACATTCAAAGTCACTAAAATTCAGCTGAACTTCAGCAGGTCATCTTAACCCTGTCTATGTGTCTACTTGTACTGAGTTGCTGCCATGTGACTGGCTGATTAGATATTGGTGAAGGAGAAGGTGAACATGTGTACCCAGTGAAGCGGTCGGCGAGTGTACATTGGATATCTGAGGAAATACCGGCCACGTCTGGTTTCAGGTGACTGTGTCGGGTCACTGACGTTTTCAGTGAAAATTCAGAATAATAATATAACAACATTCAGCAGTAGCTTTGCTGTAACACTGAACATCTTGTCTTCTAGAATTACACCTGATCCATTTGTGTGGCCACAGGCCTTCCACAGATATTCTTTTTAGATTAAAGAAACTGTTTTTTCATTTCATTTTTTCATTTTTTCATTTTATTAATCCTTGAAAAACAAAAACAAAGGAAACTTCATTTACGCTGATGTTTAATTTGATGTTTGGCGTGGTCTAAAGATACACAGTAAAAAAAAACCCCACAATAAACGATACAAGATAAAGATTAGAGAAAGGACTCATGTAAAACAAGTACAGACAGAAGCTAACTTGTGTATGATAATTGAGCATAGAAACTGAAAGCAGTGTTTTACATTCAGTCAGACTTGAGGAACTTGGCATGATCATCAATCACTGGGCTGATGTTTGATATAACCAACCACTCTGCGTAGAAGTTATGTAAAATGACTCTTTCCAAATAAGAGTCTTATAGTTCAAAAACTCCAGAGAAGACCACCCACCAGTTTCATATAAGGTGCAAAGACCTGCACTATAAACACCTCCAGTACTGAGCCTGGGAGTAGCATCAGAACAAAAAGAAAAGACGATTTAATGAACTCGCAGCATCAGAAGAGCCTTGTATTTATTTAATTGGACACTATCAGCCTAACAGGCTGGCTAACTTAATGAATTCTTGTGCAAAGTGCCTTTTAAGTCAATACACATTAGTCAGTAAATTGGATGAAATACAAGCTGCTGACAGACTGCCCATCTATAAAAATGGGCTCTATCCCTAACGCACAGGTGTCATTTCTCCCAGCTCTGGCTGATTAGACTTTCGCTCGGGATGAGATTGGGAATTGCACGAGGACACGGGACCTCATCTGCTGATTCTAAAGTGGCGATTTTGGGCTACAAAGCTAAGAGCAGAGTAGGGAGACTTAAGCAGTTGAGGAGGCTTCACCTGAATGAACATACTAAGCTCGACTGTAAGACCATGTGAGTATTTACCATGGACGAAAAAACTCCTGGATTTTGTGCTCGGATGAAGCGTTACATCATGCAACAAAACAGCAAATCCAGTTTTCCACTTTTGTAGTCACCTGATGAATTCAGAGTTTTCTAATTGGTTACTGACTCCACAAAAATGGTGAAAGCAATTAAAAAAATAAAAAATAAAAATACAATCACTCTCCAAAAATGGCGTGTTTTCTTTCTCTTGAGGCAGATTTTGCCAATAACTTTTTGATCTAAAAGATACAGATCTCCAGTAGTTTTCGTTTCAGGTTACAAGCCAGAGATTCGAGTGCTGATTGTGCGGGGTCAAGCGCCACTTCAGAAAACAAACTACTGCAGAAAATCCTCGATTAGTGTTGGAACATAAATACAGAAAACCGTGTCAGATCTGCACCGATAACTTGGACATCTGCAGCTGTGCCTGTGGACTCTGCGCGTTTCCTTCATTCTGACTGACTTGGAGTGGAGCTGCATTAAAATGCAAGAGAGCTGTAAAGAAGAGCCTTGGAATAAGGAGTCAGGAGGATGGGGAGGTTTATGGATATTTGAAGTCTTCTGCCATTAAGGATTTCTGACTGCAAATGAGAAAAATAATTCTCTATTCAGTATTACTCAGAATTAATTTCGGCATCTTGAAACGGGTGAGGCATGTGGAGAAATAGATTTGATGTTCATGGGAGGAAACTGGTGCACTTATCCTGCACTGTGAGTGGCGTGCCTTTTATTTAATGTTGAGAAGTATATGTTCTCATGAACAAAATCAGGAAATATCATTAAATGAAAAAGACCGACAGTTCGGCTGTTCATTCAAACTAACAGCACTCTGCATGTCAGTGTTTCTGCACGTGATGCATAATAAGGGGAGCTCTTGCATTGATGAATACGGCACAAGTAAGCCAGATGGTGTTACCATAGCCCAGTAGATGCATTAGATTGTTACTGGATGTGGATTAGAGTTGATGCAGAGTGCGAGAATTATCAGAATGTTGATTAACACCTTATCAAAATTGAAGGACTCAAACAGTCCAGATGTGGAGTAGACAGTGGGGTCACGAGGTACCAATAGTCATTCTTTTATTGGACTTTGTTGCCTTTTATTCCCCAACTGAGGGATTTATTAACCTAAATCAAGTCCTATGAAAAACTAAATACACTTAATGTTTCAATAGCTTGTAAAACCACCTTTCGCTGCAATAACTTGAAGTAACAGATTTCTGTTTGACTTTATCAGCTTCACTTCATTGACCTCTGCGGGCATTCATCCTGTCCTTTCACAGCTCTCTTAATCTCCTGCCACAGTATTTCAGTCAGGTTGAAATCTGGACTTTGACTGGGCCATCGTAACACCTTGATTTGTTTCTTTTTCAGTCGTTCTGTTGTAGACCTGCACTGCTTGGGAGTCATTGTGACTGCAAAACAAGCCCAAATCATCACCCCTCCATCATCGTGCTTGATAGTTGGTTTGAGGTGATTGTGCTGATATGCTGTGTTTGGGTTTTGTCGAACATGCAGTGCACTATGGCCAAACGTAGCACCTTTCTACTACTTACCTTCTTAAATTTTTGGAAGAAGTGAGACTTAAGTTAGTTTTTTAAAGGACATCGTGCAAAGTTTGTTTTTCACATAACTTTATGTGAGGAGAGTTTGCTCTTTGAAGGAAGAACATAGATGACATTAGGGGTCTCAAAACAAGGAATTAATGTGGCTCTGCACTGACTCTAAAAAGGAATGACTTGTTTGATTGTTTACCTAATATTGATTATCTGAGTGAACTTTTTTTTATACACAGTGGATCTTACATTTGTCTGTAAGAGGAAGTTGCTGCAAGTTTGTCAAGTGTCAAAATGATGCCTAAACAAAGAGGCCCATTTTCACATTATTAGACATACTTACAGGCTAACTTCTATGATTTTTGTAATTGTGACCTAACCAAGCACAGTCTGACAGGGGTGTGTCTGTGGATAGGCTGGGGTTTCATTTTTTCATTTTTTTTGTTTATTGTGGTTTAAAAAAAGATTTATGACAATGATGTTACCATTAAATCAAAAGAAAAATAGGAAGCAGTAAAGCAGTTATTTTTTTTTAGCACAGCAATGAAACTGAAAAAACAAGTGCACAGGGGTGGTGAGGAAGTCTGAAACCATCTGCGATGTAGATATTTCATTTTTAAAACCTTTAATTCTGCTCATATTTTCTTATGAGCCGTATGAATATTTGATACAAATACAGTTTTGTAGGTCAGTTGCTTGCATCCAATAGCTAAATGCAGAGATCAGTGCATTGAGCTACTGTATATTTTTATTGTTCTGTCGCCCCCGTCCACATTGATTATTTATGTAACATTGTCTTAGAGCCGAATGCAGCATTTATCCCAAACATAGTTCAGTCCTGAGCAGACCTCATTCATCGCACAGATGTTCATCATGCTGCACTGCTGCTTGACCCTGTTTGTTCTGTTGAAGCCCAAAACCAATAATTTGCTCACTCTAGGCAGGCGGATGTCATAAAATCAAGAATGCATACTGTTACTGTAACCTGTGACCACATATTGATTCGGTTGTGCAGTGCATGGCACTTTGCTTACTTCATCTAAGTCACAATAGCAGTCTCCTCTGGAAAAAGAAAAAAAACACGCCCACTGCTGATTTGAAGGTCCATTGTGTAGGATTTGGGAGGCACTGTTGCAATGGAATATACATAATTATGTTTTTACTACTGTATAATCACCCCAAAGTGTCATTTTCTCTTATTTTAGAATGGGCCCTTCATATTTCTATAGGGAGTGCATGCTCTTCCACCCACAGTTTGCAGTGTTGGACCAGAGTGGACATTTAGAGTTTGTAGTGTCCACCAGCTTGAAGATGGAGGGTGAGGCCGCTGAATCATGCACACTGTCAGTTTAACTCAAGTAATCATGTGGGCTATTTTTGCAAAAAGTTTAAATTGAATTTAAAAAAATGTGGCTAAATGTGTCCCTGTCCTTACTGATCATCACTTCTTATCAACAAGCTAATGGCAACTGTAGCCCACTGGGCTGAAATAGCCCAAAAGGAGTGAGCCAATAAATTATGTTAATCAGTGGGACACGTTGGAGGCGTGTTGTTGCCTTCGTGAGGGGGGGAGCATGCCTGCGCCACGGAAAGGCTTCAGTCTTAATGCTGTGTCCTCTGCGTGCGCACTGCCTCCCGCTTCCACGCTCTCCCTCTCTACTGTTGAGTGCATAAGAGCGGTTTCCTCTGCAGACCACTTTGCAAAGCTCCGTGCAACAAGTTTGCAGGAGCAGCAGCGGCACGCCGTCACGCAGGTTGACTTCCCTCGGCTGGAGCTTGAGCGGCGCTCCACTCATCCATCTGTCGCTGTCACCACAAAGTCACCGTACGTGAACGCGGCGTTGCAGGCGCACACACGCACGCTCGCTCACTCACTCACACAGAGCAGAGTGCCATAAATTGGTGACTCCGCGCCAGATGCGGTTTGCTCTCAGCAGCGCGTGGAGTTGTTAGTTAAATGGAGAACGCAGTGGCGAGAGGAGCATCTAAGTGCATGGAAAAAATGGAGAAAGAAGTGTCGCCCCGGCAGAAGCGACACTACTGCCGCACGACTGCGCTGAACGTCTTCTCCTCGTTTTGCTCCGTGGCGTCCGTCGCCTTCTGCATTTTCCTGAGCATTAGCGGAGCTGACATCAAGAACCGAGTTGTGGATTTGGAGAGTGCCAAAGGCGAGCACACCTTCACCCGTGCCCCCGGCTACTCCGTGGAGGATTTCAATTCACTGATAGAGGAAAGAGTGGACGAGCTGCTCTCTCAGGTAAGATTGGCTTATGCGCTCGGCTCTCCGGCACTTTGTTGTTGAGCCCTTCACTTGCGCGTAAATGGACTGTGGTTCACTCAAAAGGCGAATGAATGAAAAATGATGCTTTTCTTTCACCTTTCAGCGCTCCTATGAGAATTTCGTCAAGATTCGGACAGCCAGACAAACATCACCTGAATGCAATTGCCCTCCAGGTAAAGGAAACTACTTTTCCAGTGCGATGCGGGCGCGGGGTTGCATGTGGGAGTGTGAGGTACTGGCTTTTAAAGCGCGTTTGACTCCGAGCACAGGCTGGTGTGAGAATGAATGGAAGCTTTTCTAGGACAGGTTTTTTGTTTATTTGCATGTTTGTAGTTGATTTCATTGAATTTGATGAAACGTGACAGTGCTGATAGTTCAGGGGAGGTCTCCTGTGAAGGATGCGGACAGCTGAGCGCTCAATGCACCTAACAGAAAGAAAGGCATTTAACAGCCGTCTATACATAGAGGTGCTGAGAGATTGTCCGACTTGTGATGTTGCCTGCTCCCTTGTTCACATGAAGAAGTGGGGGAGGCTGAAATTCACATTTCTAACCAGTAGATGGAAACATTTATTCCTCCAGTGTAGCTCAGCATTCTGGTCATTTTAGGACTGAGCCGAGGTTGGGTTGCCAGTGCATCGTAAGGGGGGGGGTTGCCAAGGGGAATGTTCCGGATTTGAACTTGTGGGTTTATGGTTTACATGGTTTACTTCTAAATGTTTGCCAAGCCACTATTGGGCATCAGTGTAGGTTAGCCTTCAGGGGAAAAAAAAAGAGATTAATAAAAAATAAAAACAGCCAGTTCTGCTCTTGAATGTGTGATTGACAGCTCCAGTTTCACTGCAGTAAAAAAAAAAAAGAAGAAGAAAAGATAGAAATTATAAAATAGCACCGACAGAAAACAGGTAAAAATACAACATTAGCCAATAAGGTGAAATCCAGATGGCAGTGCAGCTCAAAGAAATTAATGAGTCCATTAGGGTTCCCTTTTGCATGCAGTTAGGTGGATATATGTTTGGCGTTTGACTCATTTCTTGTTATTTTAGCTGTTTACCAAGTTACAGTTATAAACATGAGCTTAAAGTGAAGACTCTGGGGGCATCGGGGACTTTGAGGGGTTGAAAATTGCAAAAAATCTCTCACACCTGCCCTTAAAATAGCTCACGAGTCCCTGAAAATGAGGGACGGTGCGTAAAAATTGCTGCGATTTTGTAACAGTTAATGCAACGTCTTTGTTCATCCCCTTGAATTAAAGCTAAAAGTCTGATTGTTAAGCCCACATTCAGTTAATGACTCAGGCACCAGTTCTGTTTTTTCAACAGCTACAATAATGTCACATCTCCATGTCCAGACATATACAGAGATACCAGGGTGTCAGATAAGGGCTATATACTGTCAGTGATAAATAAAACGTGTCTATTTCAACTGATTCTCAGATAAAGTGAAGGATTCAGTCTTTGCCCAAAAGTTGACAGAATATGCATTATAGGCTAAATGACCCAGTTAAAGTCCATCCATCATCTGAAAACTGCTTCGTCATAAAGCCGAAAACAGGGCTGTGTTTTCTCAGCTGACATTGTGGAGTTATGTTCTTTACATGTAAGTAACATCCTGCGGATTTCTTAAGGCTTATTTTAATTACCTTTACATGCTTTTTCATACATGTGCCAAATATCAATATGAGCACCTCGAGTAATGCGTTCAAAAGGTCACCAGCTCCTCCCGGCTCCTTAATGGTTATCCGACAGATGGGATGAATTGCTCCTTGATGTCAGAATGAAGTACGCTGTATGGCCGATCTAATAGCATGTTACTACAAAGCACTCTAGTAACATTTCCATGCTCTCAGTGAACCACCCGTGAACCTTTGCGCTCCTTCCTGGCACACTGCTGAACCACTAGGTAGACGGCATGCTGCGGGACGCTGACATGTTTTCACAACTTTTTAAAGTTTGATGAAGAGGGGATCAGCCGCAGTCAACTCCAGCTGGGAATGTTACACAGTAAGTGTGAACATACTGTAGGTGACCTTTCTGGAAAAAGTCACAGTGCATAGTGGTGCTTGGAAGGTTTCATGGAAAATTCTCGGGTATTGGCAAACATCTGCGCTGCAGGTCTGAAATTAAGGTGTTGAATCCCAACCAAAGAAAGTGCTTTGTTGTTGACCCTCAACCCCCTGACCTCCCCCTTTTTTTTCTTTTTCCTTCACCCTGCCAAATATGAACAGCAACGCAATAAAAAAATATGTTTATATACCATAATCAGACACGGGCACAAGAAGAAACGAGTCTAGCGCGAGTGATAATCCCAAACGAAAGATCCTTAATCTTCAGTTTTCACAAGTGCTCTATCAACTGCAAATGTCTCATCTGCAGAGTGGGCATGCCTGAATTAATGAGCCAGAAGCACTGCGAGTATTAACCATAATGAGACACTCACAATCAGGCGGCTCTCTGTTCTCAATCCCTGTCATATGTTTGCTATTTATTTTCTCCCTCCACAGTTCTGTAAAGGGGCAGAGAATAAAACAATGCAAACATTTCACATCAAATGAAGCGAGAC